TGCCGAGCTGGTCCCAGTGCACTGCCAGCCAAGGCCATGCACTCAGGGGTGGCACTCCCAGTGTGGCTCTGCCAGCCCCATGTTGACCTGGGTTCTTCCAGGAGAGACTCAGCTGGGACTTCCCCAGGGTTATGTGCTGGCCACAGAAACCAGTTCTGCAAAAGCCCCTGACTTCTCTCTGCCCCTCCTGGGTATCTGAACACTGAATTCCAGAATAGTTTAGGTTGGAAAGGATCTTTAAAGACCACCTTGTCCAACCCCCTGCCATGGGCCAGGACACCTTCCACTAGCTCTTTTTGCCTTTGCCTGCTGTGATGTGACATGCAGGACCAGGGCAGAACAAGAACTTGAGCCCAGCTTTCACTCAAGCTTTCACTGGGAATTCTTCCCTGTTGGGGTGTTCAGGCACTGGAACATTGCTCAGGGAGGTGGTGGAGTCACCATTCCTGGAACTGTTTAAGAGACATCTGGATCTGGTTATGGATATGGGTTAGGGTTTAGGGGTTCCAGCAGTGACAGATTAGTGGTTGGACTCAATGACCTGGAAGGTCTCTTCCAAAATAGATGACTCTAAGAGTCTATGTTTCATGCTTGACAAAGCTTGTTGTGGGCAGGCTCCAACCTTCTCTGAGACACAAAATAGAAATTCCCATTTCTAGAGGCAAACAAATCCACTCTGTAGAGAAGCCCAAACTCTTGGTGGGTGAACCCCACTAAGGAAATCAATTGATCCCCACTTCGAGGTTCAATTGATTCGCTTTTTTTCTTTCCTTCCATTTTCATTGCTTTTCCCCTTGGCCTCTCAAGGTGAGCTGTCTTCCCTGCACAGCTGCCAGCCTGGAGACCCCTGGGAACAGCAGCATCAGCTCCAAAGGCCTCCATGGCTGCATAGGAACACTAGCTCCAAGGGGTCGAGCAAGATGGATGTGTTGGTGTGGTGCCTTGTTTGCAGCTTTCCCTCTGCCTGTTTAATGCTTCCCACATGCACACACCCCACCAGAGCTCGGCTCCAGCCTCCCCTCGCTGTGCTGGCTCCAGGCTGAGCTCAGCTGTGGGCAGCAGCCAGCACTGTGGTAAAGCCAAGCTTCTCCCACACAGCTGTGCCAGCTCTAACTTTATCCCAGCCCAGTCACAGCTAACATCCTTTCCTTAGGAAATAACCAAGGCTCTGGGCTAACCTCCTCTCCCCCACAAACCGCAGGGCACGCACTTGGGCTTGCAGTAATGAGAGAGATGTGGAAATAAACAGTATTATTTTACCTTCTATTTCACTTGGCTTGTTCTTTCCCCAAGGGTTCAGCTGTGTTTATGCAGCACCAGTGACCCGTGGTTGGGCAGAGGGTGTGTTAATTTGTGTTTCTTCATCAGCCATGTAATTTTTAGCAGCATCCTCCCTGGGGAAGCAGAACAGATGGGATGTGCAGTGTTGTAATGCAACGGACTTGGGATGTGCAACAATAGCTCAGGTGGTTTCATGGAGATGTGCACTACAGCAGGCTTGGTGCTCTCTGGATAATGGACAAAGGCCAAGGGGCACTGACTTAGCTCTGTCCTTTCTGGTAAAGCTACTCCTGCTCCTGTGAGCCAGAGCATTAAGCTCTTGACTTGAAAGACAACAAGAATTAAGAGCTGGCCCTTGCTGTTCCATCTCAGCTTGGTTCAGGCCCTTGGGCATGGGAGGAGCTCCTGCTTTGCACAAAGCTATGCACTCAGGCAGTGAGGGATGGATCTGATCAGAACTTGTGTGTCTATTTAGTGAGAGAGAGGACCAACCATGCAAATAAATGTGCATTTCCCAACACAAGATTTGGCAAAGCAGTGCATGGAGATCTTTTAAAAGGGAAGGAAGGCTTGCAGTGGGAGAAAGTCAGTCCCACCCAGTTGCAGTGTGTTTGGAGACACTCTGGAACAATAAGTGCTGCTCTTCTGGAAAAGCAGGGGATGGAGAATCATAGAATCATCAAGGCTGGAAGAGACCTTGAAGATCATCAATCTAACCATCCACCCAGCACTGTCACTGCCACTCCTAAAGCACTAAAACATACCACCTAGAGCCAGATCCAGATGCTTCTTAAACACCTCCAGGGATGTGACTCCACCACCTGCCTGGGAAACCTATTCCAATGCCTGAGATGAGAAATAGGAACTAGTCATGCTGAAGGAACTGCTGAAGTAACCAGTGTGTCCATGAGTGCCTCTTGCTGAGTTCCAGGTAGGGCAGGCTCCCTGGGCCACTTTGTAGAGCCATGTCCTTGGCCTGACACTGGGCTCCCAGCTGTACTAGAGCCACTCTGGCCACCACCACCCACCTGCAGGTCACTTTGCCCTGAGCCTGCTGAGAGGAGGTAGAAGAGCCAAGCCAGGTGCTTTTAGCCAACCTCCAGCTTCGTGGAGGGTGAAGGCTATGGGAGAGGAAGGACCTGCAGACCCAGGAGATCCCAAAGGGAGGTTGGTGCTCTTGAGGGCAAACCTAGGAGCTGGACCTCCCTGCTGAGCTTCCTATAGCAGACTTGTAGCTTGCATTGGGTAGATGCAGTGGGTGGACCAGCCCTAGCAGTGGTCTAGGGGTGGTGCTAGAGCTTGTGTGCTGACTGATGTGGTCCAGGGACTCCTGGACATTGTGCATGTGCTAAAGTCAACCTGAAGGTGGTTAGTCTTGCAGCTTGCAGCAAGGACAGGGATGTTGAGGCTGGGACAGCAGCACGAAGGCAGAGCTTCACAAACCAAGCCATGCTCACTGGTCCTGGCTGCAGGAGGATAGACTGGGAGTGACACAGTCAGATGGAGGGGGTTTGCAGAGGAAAGTGACTGCTAATCTCAGCATTTCTTCCTATGTTCATCCCCAAAACTTACCCAAAGTGCAGTGTGATGTTTCCTTCTGGTCTGCAGGGAACTTACCTGGCCACTGCCTTTCTTTGCCTGTGCAAGAAGCTTGTCAGACCATGTGTAAGACTCATTTACTGCCTTTCAAGCCCACTGGCATTGCCAGGAGTGGCCGAGGGCGAGGGCAGGCACGCGGTGCTGCCAGCCAAGGGGCACGGGGCAGCAGTTACTGGCAAACACGCAAAGCTCAGGGTTGCATCCAGCAGGGTCTTTCTGAGATTAGTTCTGGGCAAGGCAGGGGGTGGGCAGCACAAAGAAAATAGCCCCTCCTGCGGCGTTCCAGCCCGCAGGGGCATTCAGATCTCACCACTTGGGAATTTTCCACCCGAAGCCCCTTGTAAAGCGCAAAGCGCCTTGCCCTGCTCGGACTCCTGCATGCGGAAGGGTTCAGTGCCAAAGTGAAAGGCTTCCGAAAACCGGGCTGAGCCAGGGAGGGGGGCGATTTAGGAGCTATTGAGAAACAAGGAAGGACAAACGGTGTTAGGTCATTGCTTCTGCAAACACAGCCAAGGCTGTTTCTCTATAAAAGGGGGAGAAAGCTGTTCCAGAGCCATCACAGACTTGGAGAGGACAGTCTGTGACCAAGGCTGCTGCACCCCCTCCTCGGCACCTAACTCCCTGCTTAAGCATGAAACTCCTCCTCTCCGCTGTGCTGTCCTTCGGGATAGTGGGTAAGTGTCTGCTGAAAGCAATTCTTTGGGGAAAGGAAGCAAAAACCTCCGAGGAGCCCAAGTTTTTCCCTAGGCAAGGCTGTTTTCGAGCCCCAGCAGCTGTTCATTAAAAGCCAGGACGTGAAGCAGCGCTTGCTTTGGCAGCCGTGGGGCTGTCAGCAAGGATGGTAATTAGAGAGGTAATGCCAGCGGCTCAGCCCGGGGAGGCTGGAGGACCCTCGGGCAGGGAGCAGGGAGGGATGCTCAGCACCACCACCGCGGAGCGCATCGCTCGGGAGAGGCTCTGCGCTCCTGCTGCCCCGGGGGAAAATCATCCTCCAGCCAACTGCTGTGCCTGGAGAGGAGCAGAGCTTCAGCCTGGGGGGAGAGACTACAGCGAGACCTGCCAGCCAAGGCTTCACGTGTGTTGAGTTAAACCTGAAGGCAGAGACCTCGAAGGGACTCGAGCACAAGTGCAATGAGGAGAGGCTAAGGGAGTTGGGAGTGTTTAACCTGAAGAAGAGGAGGCTCAGGGGAGACCTTATCACCCTCTGCAACTCCCTGACAGGAGGTTGAAGTCAGGTGGAGGTTGGTCTCTTCTCACAAGCATCTAGCAGTGGGACAAGAGGGCACAGACTCAAGGTCTGCCAGGGTAGGTTTAGGTTGGATATTAGGAAGAGATTTTTTAGGGAGAGAGTGATCAGGCATTGGAATGTGCTGCCCAGGGAGGTGGTGGATTCACCATCCCTGGAGGTTTTCAAGCTGAGACTGGATGTGGCACTTAGTGCCATGGTCTAGTAACCATGGTAGGGTTGGACTTGGTGATCTTTGAGGTCTCTTCCAACATGTGACAAAAAAACAGAGTTTAAATTATGGCAGAGCCCATGTACTCCCTCTCTGCTCCCTCGCAGCTCCATCCTGCTCCTGTGGCTGCACTTTGTTGGGCTGGCTCAACAATTGTGCCACTGCAGGGCTGGCTCTGCTCGGTGGGATCCTTTCCTCTCTCTCTCTCTGCTCGCAGCTCTGGCAGGCAATGGGCAGGGAGCTACGGCAAAGAGGTTGCTGCCGTCTCCACCTGCTCTGGGGACTGGTGCCTGGACAGGGAAGGAGGGGTCCCCTTCTCAGAGCAGGTAGTGGAGCTCTTCTGACACCCCACAAAGTGGAGTGGAGATCCATGTCCTCTGGTGGGAACTGCTGCCTGTGCCAGTGGCATCAGAAAGGGGAGGTTTCTGCTGGCAGGGTTGTGGCTCAAAAATCAAGTAAAGAAAGGCTGGAAATGACTCAGGTTAATCTAGAGGTGTTTGAATGAAATGTGCCATGGAGGGTTTGGAGGGAGTGAGCTGTGCAAGAACTGTCTTGGTCTGCACAACCCTGCGAGGAAGGGGCAGAGCTGAGGTGATGTGTCAGCACGGGCTAGCCACAGCCTTGAACTGCAAGTTTCCAGCATGTCTGGGCTTTAGGTTAGCTGGAAGAGGTGTAAGTCTGTGTCCACCTGAGGTCTTTGCTTAGCTCTGGTCTCCCAGAGCAGCTCCCCAGCTGCATTTGCTGGTCAGGGGACTTGTAGAAGGACTGTGGTGGTGCTAAGTCACCTCTTACTGGGTGTACTGGAGGAAGTGAGATATAGAGACAGTTAAACATATCAGACCACCCAGCTACCAAGGAGGTGAGAGTGGCAATGCCTGTAGGCTGCCCAGGCCAGAGCCACTCTTCCTCTGGGGCTGTTAGCAAGGACATTGCTTCAGTGCTCTGCCTTTTCTCCCTGTTTGCCAGAGTCTGGAGTTTGATTTCCATTGATTTCCATTGGAGTGTGTGTGTGTGCTCTCCTCCTGTGGATGCTGCTGTGAGCCCAGGCTGCTTGACTCACAGTTGTTCAGAGGCAGGAATGACTCTCACAGATGTTTCTGAAGGTGCACACATCAGGCAAGAAAGAAAAGACATTCCTGCGTGATGTAGGAGATGTGCAAGATCCTGCCCCTGCTCATCACCCAAGGCCATGCCTGCAGGGAACCAGAGCCCTTGTGCTCGCAGAGATGCTGTTTTTCTCCAATCTCTGCCTTTCTATCTCTCTGAGAGTATTGTTTTCTGCTTCTTCTCCAGCTCTGTGTTTTGCTGCTCCCCCCAAGACAAGTGTCAGGTGGTGCACAATATCCTCGGCAGAGGAGAACAAATGCAACAGCCTGAGGGACCACATGCAACAGGACAATGTTGCCTTGAGTTGCCTGCAGAAAGCAACATACCTTGACTGCATAAAAGCCATTTCGGTGAGTGGGCAGCAAAGAGCTGTGCTGGGCACTGAGGGGGTTCCAGCAGCCTCTCACACCTGGAGACAGCTGGAGTTTCCTTGGAGTCACAGGTCACTGGTGGTGACCTGTGAGCCCTGCAGAGAAGAACTCACAGGGATCCAAGAGAGACTCCCGGGAAGTGTTTTTCCTGCTCTTTGTTAATGATGCAATCTCTCTGTTGCTCAGAATAATGAGGCAGATGCCATCAGCCTGGATGGAGGGCACGTGTTTGAGGCAGGCCTTGCTCCCTACAAGCTGAAGCCCATCGCTGCTGAGGTCTACGAACACAGTGAAGGTACATTTTCCTGCAGTGTTTTTGAGCCAAGTGGTGGCAACACACTGAGAGTACCAAGGCCACCCTTTCCATGCAGAGTTTCCACAATATGTCAGTTGGGTATCCAAGACATTGTCTCTGGCTCCCAGATCCAAGAGGGGAAGCAGTGGGGGTCAAAATGTGTATCATCACGCATGGCCACAGACTCACTGCAGTGCAAAGGGGCAGTCAGTGCCCCATTCCTGTCTGCACTGTGGGAAAGGTCTCTGACCCTGGGATGAGCTGGAGAGCACCATGAGCAGAAGTCATGGTCCTCCTGAAGCATGACATAAAAACTGTGCTGGTCCCAGAGCTCTTCTGCTCTCAGTGGCCTTGAGCTCTGTGGGTAACACATGGAGCTAGATAGCACAGATAACCTGTGCACCCTGTGCAGTTAGCAAGACAAAAAGATGATGAAGGGGCAACAGCATTACTAGTGCTTGTGGAGGAACACCCAGTTTTGATCACTGAGGCAAGAAGTGCAGGCAATGCACAGGGAAAAACAGGAAAAGCATAAAAAGTGCTCTGCAGTAATCCTTTCTGATAGGAGTTAGCTCCATGGCTCCATCCCTACTCACTCACTGTACTTCATCTCTCCCATCTTGCTCCTGGGAGTCAAACAGGTGCTGTTTCTCTTGACTCATGTAATACCACCATGTGCAAAACTTCCAAGTTCTTTTGACCTCTGTCCTGGAGTTCAGCCTGTTTGTACAGGATCCAAGCAACATGGCAGAGTCATTCTCAGCATGGTGGCTAAGGATATACAGCTATGAAATGCAAGGCTGAGGTCTCTGCCATCCCTAAAACTCAGTCATTGTATCCATCCATAGCATGTGATGGACAAGGTATAATTTTAAAGACTAACTGTGGAATTTCAGTCTCACAAGGCTTACATAAAAGCTTCAGTGGGCATGTGAGAAGAGACTTGCCAAAGGACATTGGTCCAAAAGACTTGTTGAAGCTCCTTATGGCATGTCTGATGTCTGTCCAGTGGCAAAACATTTTGTGTGTGATAGTAATGTCAGGTCACTTACTGTTACAAGTTGTAATGCACAGTGTGGGTTCAGTATTGACAGCCTAGTTCACCCCTAAGAAAATGGGAAGGCCATGAGTGTTGGAGCAAATTTGTTAATTATTTCGAAGTGCAGCTCTTTGTTCCTTGAAGCAGGGGCTTTGGCAGGGCTTGGAATGTTCCTGGTTCCTGCTTTCTCATTGCTTTATTGCTTCTCCCTGTGCTGCAGGCTCCACCACCAGCTACTATGCTGTGGCCGTCGTGAAGAAGGGAACAGGCTTCACCATAGGTGACTTGCAAGGCAAGACCTCCTGCCACACAGGCCTGGGCAGGTCTGCTGGCTGGGTCATCCCCATTGGGACACTCATCCACCGTGGAGACATCCAGTGGGATGGCAAAGACTCAGGCTCCATCGAGCAAGGTAAGGTGGGAGATGCTGAGATTGGTGGGTGGAAGTGAAGCCAGGGGTGGTGGAATGGTGAAAGGGATGTTGATAAAAGTCCTGTGAGGAGAGGATGAGGGAACTGGGGGTGTTTAACCTGGAGAAGAAGAGGCTCGGGGTGACCTTATCAGTCTACACAACTCCCTGACAGGAGTTTGTAGCCAAGTGGGATTAGGCTCTGCTCTCAGGGAACTAGCAACAGGACCAAAGGACGTAGTCTCAAGCTGCACCAGGGGAGGTTTAGGTTAGGCCTTAGGCAGAATTTCTTCCCAGAAGGGGTGGTTAGGCATTAGAATGTGCTGCCCAGGGAGGTGGTGGAGTCACCAGCCCTGGAGGTGTTTAAGGACAGACTGGATGAAGCACCCTGTGCCATAGTCTAGTTGACATGGTGGTGTTGAGTCATAGGTTGGACTTGATCTCAGAGGTCTTTTCCAATCTGATGGATTCTGTGGTTCTGCCACTCTCCTGCAGATGCCCAGAGGTAGCTGGCTGAGCACTGACATCCCTTGTGCCTCCCCTCCCTTCCTGAGCCTTCTCAGAATGAATTCTGACAATTATTGCTTCTCTCTCACCCACAGCCGTGGCCAATTTCTTCTCTGCCAGCTGTGTCCCTGGTGCCACCACTGAGCCCAGACTGTGCCGCCAGTGCAAGGGCGATGCCAAAACCAAGTGCTCCCGCACAGGGCCTTATTCTGGATATTCTGGAGCTTTCCAGTGAGTGACACTTATTTTTCCCATGAGGAAATACTCTAGCCCTGGCACATGCAAGTTTCCCTGCTGCCAGAGAGGGCTGTGCTGCAGTCAGGGGTCCTGAGGAGGCTGAATCACTTCTTTGCTGTTTCGTTTGCTTCCCTGCCAATTTTTTTTTTTTCTTTTTTTTTTTTTTTTTTTTTTTTGTGCGAAGACCATTGCTCTATGGTTGCAGTTTGAGCCAAGATACTTTGCTGGATCAGGAGATAGGGAAAGCTTTGTTAACTCCTCCTCTGTTCCTCCCACCTGCAGCTGTCTGAAAGAAGGCAAAGGAGAAGTGGCTTTTGTGAAACACACAACTGTTCTAGGTAAGCCTGAAAGATCACTTGTTTCTCCTCTTTCTAGTCCAACTTCTCACTGACACACTGTCCTGTGATTCGTCCACACTGTGCAGATTTCATTCCTCTCCAGCTTGCCCTAAACCTCTCCTCCTTTCATCCCTTGAAACATGTTCCTCACCCTGTGCACTGACTTGCCCTTCTTACCGAGAAATAGGATTATGGTGGGGGCCACATTTTCTTCTTTGAGGTTCTCCTCAATCTGTTGTCATGGTGCTGCAACTCATGATTCCTCCCTTGCTCCAGAGAACGCCCCCAATGAGAAGGATGAGTATGAGCTGCTGTGCCTGGATGGCACCCGCCAGCCCGTGGACAACTACAAGACCTGTAACTTGGCCAGGGTCCCTGCTCATGCTGTCATGGCTCGAGATGACAACAAGGTCGATGACATCTGGAACTTCCTCTCCAAAGCACAGGTATTGCTGAGCTGTCCTTTCCTCCCCCAAGCATCCCCTCTTTGGCCTCTGCTCTCCGCAGCTTTCCAAGAGTTTTGGTGTGGTCATTTGCTGATTGTTTTTCCCTTGTGGCAGGAAAAGTTTGGCGTGGGCACAAGCAGCACCTTCCACCTCTTTGGGCCACCTGGCACGAAGGACCCAGGCCTCAAAGACTTGCTTTTCAAGGACTCTGCAATACAGCTGAAGCGTATCCCATCCCTGATGGATGCCCAGCTCTACCTAGGCTTTGACTACTACAGTGCCATCCAGAGCCTTCAGAAAGGTAGGCAAGGCATGATGTGGTGCCAATGTGAGCTGTGTGGAGGAGCTGGCATTGGCAAACACGTCTCGGCCAAAGGAACGTGATTTGTTTCAGACACAGACCGTATCTCTGCAATATATTTCCAGTGCAATCGCATCATCTTCACAAGCTTCACTTACACCAACACAAGGAATTCGCTGAATCCAAACCCGAAAACAACATCAGCATCACACTGACAAAGATGGAAAAGTTATATGCATTGCAGTTATTCAGCTGGTTGTGGAGACTGAGCATGCAAAAACTGCTGCTTAGAAAAGGCATTTCTGGGCTGAAGGAGGAAGGAACAGCAGGTCCTGGATTGGCCACTTGAGGGAAACAGTGTCCTTTGTTTCCATCCTGACTCATCAGGCATTTACTGATGTCTTTCTGAGACTCAAACATCCCACAAATGATCTCCAAAACCCACTTGGAACGTATAGTCCAATTTAAAGTACCTCCCTTCTGTGAAGTGGCACTTATGGAAGGGGAGCAAGGACTTCCCAAAGCATTAAACCACATTATCCAAGTGAACAGAAACACAACCAGGTTGTCATTTTCCAGCTTAGCCTGGTCTTAGTCTCATGGTTGTCTGGGCTGTGAGGACTGGAGAAGTGCAGGATATATTCTAGGCAGCAATACCAGATACTATTAGTAGTTTCATGGTTGTGCTGGTTTAGCTAACAAATCCATGTGAATATCTTACACGGAAATTCACCTTTCTGACCTGTGAGCTGATTTTTGAGCACCCTTCTGTTTAAGAATTGTCCTTACTGTCCACACCAGCTTGGGGCTTATGAAACAAGAGCTTCTTGCCCTGAGCAGCAGCAGGCTGGTGTGTACAGCTGGTTTTGTGGCTGGGTCCTACACACCCAGGAAAGGAGCCTGTTTGCTCCACAGAGCTTCTGGCTGGCTAATCCCTGCCCTCCCTGTGCTGCCTCGCAGACCGTGTGACCCCGAGCCGCAGGGGCAGCAAGATTCAGTGGTGTGCCATAGGCAAGAACGAGAAGCACAAGTGTGACCTCTGGAGCGTGATGAGCAATGGGGAGGTGGAGTGCGTGGTGGCTGACGACACCAAGGAATGCATCACGAAGATCATGGTACGAGTTTTTTTCCCCTTCTTGCTGTGAACTTTCCAAATGCCTCTTTTACAATCTGAGCTCTGCCAAGTGCTGCTCTGGGGACATACAACTTTAAAAGGCCATTGAGGCACCTGAGTGAGTCCAGCCAAGGGCAATGAGGGCAGCAAAGAGCTAGAGCACATGGGGAAGGGCTGAGGGAGTTGGGGTTGTTCAGCCTGGAGAAGAGGCTGAGGGGTGACCTCATGGCTCTCTGCAACTCCCTGCCAAGGTTGGAGAGTTGGGGGATGTGTGTCCTGCCATGGCTGCAGGGAGAGGACTAGAGGAATAGCCTTGAGCTGAGCCAGGGCAGAGTCGGATTGGATGTGAGGAGAAATGTTTCCCTGTTAGGGTGTTCAGGCCGAGGGAGGTGGTGGAGTCACCATCCCTGGAGGTGTTTAAGAGGTGTCTGGATCTTGCACTGGAAGATATGGTTTAGGGGCTGCAGCAGTGACAGGTTAATGGTTGGACTTGATGATCTTAGAGATCTCCTCCAACCATGCTGATTCTCCAATTCCTGCCCCATTTCCATTGCAGAAAGGTGAAGCAGACGCTATCAGCTTGGATGGAGGCTTTGTCTACACTGCTGGTGTGTGTGGCTTGGTGCCAGTGGTGGCAGAGAGCTATGAGGGTAAGCACAGCCCAGACTGTCCCTCAGGGTCCAGGTGGTGCCAAAGTGCTGTTTTGACTCTGGAATGCCTCAGTGCTGCATCAGGATGCTCTGAGACAGCTCTGCTTACCTTTGCATGCCTCGTCCTCCCACAGTGGTGGAACAACCCTGGGAGAGCAGGACACAGTCAGGGACACAGTAACACCCATCCAGCTCCTCTCATCTTTGATTTAAGCCTGATCTCTGTGTCCATCAGCACTGACTTCAGTAAAACCAGTTGTTTTGGCACAGAGTTGCTGCTGGAGGCTCTGCTTGGTTCTCTCGATGCACAAGGTGTCACCTGAAACAGTCACTTCTGGAGTGAAGTTTCTTCAGAAATTAGTGACCCTGCTCATTTTTTTATTTTTTGAGTTTGTGATATATTTTATCTAACACTTTCTTCTTTTCCCCTCCCACAGAGAGTCACTGCAGTGATGCAGAAGGAGAACCAGGTAATTATTGCCAACAGAAGGCCAGAAAACAGCTCTGAGGGATGGGAGTAGAAAAGCATCTGTGCAGCCCTGAGTGGGGAAGACATGACCACTCTCCACACACAGAGCCACAGGGGGCCAGTGGAAATATTAACGTTTTGGGAGACAGGTTTAGCAGTGGGATGGAAAGTTAGGGACTGCAAAGCATGTGGGAGCAGCAGAGGTTGGTGCCCAGTTGCTACTCCCTGGAGTGAGGTCACACCATAACAGTGCCAGGGCTGCAGCAGAGAAAGGGTCTGGGCTGTAGCATCAGGAAACTGTTCTTTCTAGACATGGGAAGGGGGAGAGGATGGAAGGCTTTTGTCCTTTGCTAAGGAGAGAACAAGAAATCAGGAGGGAATAAGAAACCAGGAGGGGATCAGAAATCATCAAGTATGTCTTGTCTTGCATACCCAAGTGTCAGAGTTTTAGAGGGCAGGAAAATGTCAGGGATGGTCATTTGCAAGGAGCATGATGGAAGTAGATACATCACAGCTACAAACTCTTCCATTACTGTTGCCTGGCAAATAAATTAGAAGTGCAAAGTATTTTTGCTGTGCTGTTCACAGCTGCCGTGTCCTGAGTGAGGCTGATGTTCTCCTAAGGGATCGCAGTGGGATCCCTTGGTCAGCCCTTAATCCTCCTCTATTTTATCTTCTGGAAGCAACCTACTTTGCTGTGGCTGTGGTGAAGAAATCTGACAAGGACACGACATGGAACAACCTGCAGGGCAAGAAGTCGTGCCACACTGCTGTGGGGAGAACTGCTGGCTGGAACATCCCCATGGGCCTGATCCACAACAGGACAGGGAGCTGCAACTTTGGTGAGTGGAGTTTTTCAGCCTTTTCTTTGAGCTGGGAACCTGCTCCCAGAAACTTCTTCCCATCCTTCATCTGCTCTTCAAAGCTTCTCCTGCCTCAAAGTTTGGAGGTGGGGAATGGAGAAGACTCTTATTTCAGGTCTCTCTGAGCAAACCTTTAGGATCTTGTTAAGTTCTTCAGAGTAAGATATGACACAATAGTTGCTTTGGGGTCTTTGCTTTCTTTTCACATCTCTCCCCTTCCCTTTGCAGTAGCCCAGGAGGTATTCCCAAGAAAAGGAATAGAGGCTGCCTCAGGTCTAGGGTACTTTGTTAGGGTGTGGAGTTGGGGGTCAAGGATGAAACTCAGAAGGGAAGGGCTGATCTTAATTCAAGAAACTTAAAGGGACTAATATGACTGCCTGAGAGTAAGGGGGTGACAGTCTGCACTGGCTCTGGGTCTTCAGAGGTTGTTCAGATCAACCTCTACGTCCAAATTTCAATCAGTGAGAATTATGGTCCAAAAGAAATCATTTGGAGATGCAGGTACACGTCCCACCAACCCAAAGCTGGCCTGGAACACTCCTAGGGATGGAGCAGCCACAGCTTCTCTGGGAAACAATAACAGTAGTTATTGATAACAAGAAGACACAGATTTCCCAGTGAGAACTGGATGCCTATGGTTTGCTGTCCACTGAGCCTCTCATGGCCTGCCCCAGCCCCTCAGCTCCTGCTGACACAGCACAGGGGGAGAGCATGTGATTCAAACAGAACTGAGCTTTGCAGTGTGCAGGAAAAGTGAATTTTCCTTGTTCCTGCCCTCAGATGAGTACTTCAGCCAGGGCTGTGCTCCTGGCTCTCCTCCCAACTCCCGTCTGTGCCAGCTGTGCAAGGGCTCGGGGGGAGTCCCACCAGAGAAGTGTGTTGCCAACAGCCACGAGAAGTACTACGGATACACCGGAGCCCTGCGGTAGGTTTGGGAACACTCAGGCTGATCACAGAGCTCAGGGGCAGGTCACAGAAGGACCAGAGCCTGATGTTGATGGTTCTGCTCCTGTGATTCTACCTGTGCTATGTGTGTTTTCTCTTTGCTTCCTGAAAAATGATGTGAGATGTCCCCATTTTGTAAAACTGAGGTTCCAGGCAAACCTGGGGGGAGACACAACACCTCCTACAATGGTAGCAGTGCTCTACTGTTAGCACAAATAAGGAGTGTAAAGACTGTGTTTCAGATAGCTTTCAAATATTTGTGGCAAGGCCCCCAGGCCTGGCTGTCTTCAGGGATTAATTCTGCACAGGTCTGCACCAAATCTGTGGGAAAGGGCCATGGTTCAAGCACCCACATCACTGCCCTCTCTTTCTCCTTCCCAGGTGTCTGGTGGAGCAGGGGGATGTGGCCTTTATTAAGCATTCCATTGTTGAGGAGAACACTGATGGTAGGTGGTTCTTCAGTTGCCTTCCCCACCTGCACTACTGCTTAGGTGTTGTGACATTCTCTTGCCACACAAAATCTCTGACTCTCCAAACACATCCTCTTTCAAAGGCAAAAGTAAAGAGGAGTGGGCCAAAGACCTGAAAATGGATCAGTTTGAATTGCTGTGCACTGATGGGCAACGGGCAAACGTCATGGATTACAGGAGGTGCAACCTGGCCAAGGTTCCTACCCACGCTGTGGTCACTCGGCCCGAGAAAGCACAACAAGTCCGTGACCTGCTGGAGAAACAGGAGGTTTGTAGTGCCCAGTGGAAGAAGAGTTCTGGGGTTGTCTTTATGATCTGATCTTCCTCAAGGTGACTGATATGGGATGACAGCCTTGTCCCTTAGCCTCCCCCTTCCTCCATCCCTTCCCAACTGCTCTCCTTCCTCTGCCATCTCAGCAAACACACCTTTGGGTAACAGCCAGGTCGGGGTGGCTGTCACACTGTGCTTGTGTGACATGAGTTATCACCTCCTCTCCAGGCTATGCTCTTGCTGGAGTGTTTCAGAAGCTCCTCTGGGGTGCCTGGTCTGTGCCCCAGCTGGGTCAGGCTCAGACCCGAGCAGCCAGCAGCCACCCTGCACACACAAAGCTCAGGCTACAGCAGTTCTGTTGGGTTTTACACTGAGCCATCAATGTTTGCCCCACCATCAGGGGCTGCTCGGGAAGTTAGCGCCTCTTGCTTCCACCTCGTGGCTAAGGCATAGGATCTGCACATAGTGACATGTTCAAATGGAAACTAGAATGTGTGGCAGTGGTGCTACAGCTGTGCCTACCCCTGAGAGATCCCTCCTGTAAGCCCATGGGCAGAAGGGTCGATCCTAAATTTCCGGAGGATGATGGTGAAGAATCAGGAGCTAGGCTTGTGTGAGCTGAACCTTGCCAGCTTTCTACTTCTCTCCTCTTTGTGCTTTTCTTTCAGAGACTGTTTGGAGCAAAAGGAACCAGGAATAATGAGTTCAATATGTTTTCATATAAAACCAAGGATCTTCTGTTCAAAGACTTGACCAAGTGCCTGATCAAGCTCCGTGATGGGATGACGTACAAAGAGTTCCTGGGAGATAAATACTATGCTTCAGTTGCTAGCCTCAACACCTGCAATCCATCAGGTAACCAGAGCAGCCCCAGGAGGAAGGTCCTGGGTTGCAGTCCTCACCTCACAGGCAGGGACAATTTCTCCTGGAGCTGTCCATGTAATGCTTCTGAAGGAAAATGAGGATAACCCAGGAAGATGCCAGTGTGCTTTGCTCAGAGTTCCTTGGGCCAGCTGAGAATGACCTTAAAATCTGCTGCTCTGGCAGCAACATGGAGAAGAGATTTTTCCTGATCTTTAGCAAATGTGCAGTTTGGGAAGTGGCCCAAAGAACCTACCCTGCCCCACCAGCATGGGGTCAGTGGTTAATGCCCTTTCTGTGGGGCCCACCAGGTGTTTTCCCCACGATGACGTTGTTGGCATGGTTGGGTGTGTGCTGGTGGGATGGGAGTGTTGAAAGGCAGCACCTGTACTTCTCCCTGTCCTTTCCCTTTCCAGATCTTCTCCAAGTGTGCACCTTCCTTGAGGAAAAGTAGTGAGATGGGAAGAATCCTCACTGGAGGGGGAGAAAACTTCCAGTCATGACTCCTCTCGTGCCCTCAGCACCGAGCACTGACCCATGAGGGCTCTCTGCCTTCAGTGCTTTCTCTGCCTTTCCTCACCACTCTGAAAGTGGATCCTGGAGACTTTACACTTCTCTGCTGCTATCACAGCAAAAATAAAATCTCAAGTCTAAACAGGTGTCCTAAGATTTGTCAAAACATTCCTCAGTGCCTCTCACTGCAGGACGGTGGCAGAATCCAGCATGGGTATTGTCACTTATTGCTGCCTGACAGAGAAACTTCTTTCACCATTTGCCAAAGTAGAATGGATTAATTATGCCCTAGAGCCAAATGAACAGCTGTTCTGTCCTCTATGTGCTTTTGCTTTGCCCAGATTGTCCCATTGTCTCCCCAGCAGATGACAATTCCCCAATGTGGGTGGGAAAAAGGGGGAGTGTTTATGGCAGGGAAGCTGAAGGGTAGAGAAGGGGAAAAAAAATCCAAACCAAAATAACACAGTGGTTGTAAGATGGGAGGTGTGAAGAGAAACCACTCTGTCTCCTATCTCAGCTGGCTGGGCCTGAGTTACTTCCACTCTTCCAACACTTAAGTGTATGGACAGGGAGAGTCCAGTCTTGGGCTTCCTCTCTGGAAAACATCTAGGATTGACTCAGAAATGTGTGTGCTTTGGTCTGTCCAGTCTGTCTGATGTGCTGCTGACCCGAAAACACGTGTAGGTTTGTTTTGCCTGACTCTGATCCATGTGGAAAATAAAAAGGTAAGAGAGAAGGTCTGCTGAAGCTCTAACATCCTGGGATCAGCCAGCAAGTCCCAAGGCAGGTGTGGAGGAGCTGCTGAGGACAGAGAGGTGCTGAGAGCTTGTGGCTTTGGTGTGTGTGTGTGTGTGAATATTTTGATGATTTTTGGGTGCATATGGTATATGTGTGGTTGTGGTGAGAAGTCCACCAGCCTAGCTGAAGGTCCCCTTGGATGACAGAAATGTAGAGAGTGATGGGAACAAGGAAATTTAGTTCCCCACATTTATGTAGGATGAAGTGCAATGAACACGTGGCTTTTCTCCATGGAAAAGGTCCAGCCCTGGCACAGCTGCCCAGGGCAGGGCTGGAGTCACCATCCCTGCAGGGGTTTAACAGCCATGTGGATGTGGCACTTGGGGACATGGTCAGTGGTGGCCTTGGCCGTGCTGTGGGAATGGTTGGACACAGTGGTCCCAGGGGACTTTTCCAACCCAACCGCTGCCGTGACTCCCTGACTTGGCACTGCCCATCCCTCTGCGACCCTGCTGGACCACAGCTCCCCTGTCCCTGCTGGACCACATCGCCCGTGTCCCAGTGGGACCCTAAGGACCAGATCTCCCGTGTCCCTTGGACCACATCCCCACGTCCCTTGAGGAACATCTCCCATGTCCCTCCAGGACCACATCTCCTGGGTCCTTCCAGGCCCACATCTCCCGAGTCCCTCTGGGACCACATCCCTACATTCCTCGGGCCACATCCCCGAGTCGCTCCAGGACCACATTCCCGAATCCCTCCGGGACCACGTCCCTCGGAACATATCCCCGACTCCCTCCGGCACCACCTCTCCCGACTCGCTCCCTGTCGCGCTCCGGAGACGGAAGCAGCTGCAGTGCCACGTGTTCCCCGGCCATGGCGGGCGCG